TTTTTTTGCCCTTAGGTGTCCTTCACAATGAAATGGGGAAAAATAGATCCAGACAGGACCACAAAATATCTTTCTTTGTAGGATGTGCGTTGATTAAGAAAAACAAAGCGCGTGGAAATAATAAGAATGGACCACACCAAAGCAGTAACACTCTGCAAAAATGTTTCTAGTTTCAGATGGAATGCAGAAGATGATAACTCATGTGGTGAAGATTTTAGTCTTGTGACATTAGGGGAATTTTCTGTAATGTATTTTTTGCCAAAAGCCCAGACTAGATCTATAATGTCTCGTAAAGTCTGTAACAAATTCTGACTGATGTGCCTTGTATATTTGTCATGGGCTTAGGGGTTTTGTTTCTCTCCTTTTTTTTTTCCTTTTTTTTCCCCATACTGTGACTTTAAATGGTGCCAAGAGGGAATTTTAGAATCAAAGCCAGTGCTGTTAGGATCAAAATCAGTTCAGGGGAAAAAAAAAAAAAATATTGCTACAACAAAATTCAAATCCATTTTACACAGGTTTGGACTGAAGAGGAACTGGATCAAAGAGGAGAAGCTTAAAAGGTGTATTTGGCTTTTCTTTGAGAGTTGAATGCTGAAAAGTGTTCAGAGTAGCAATGCACATACGCTCCTGGGTAATCCCATTTAAATCACAAATGTAACTTTCAGGTACCGATCGTTTGTTTCCTCTTTCGTGTCCTGATCTTTATATGGTTTCAAAGGATTCAAAGAAGCGATTAAATCATGACCATATTTAACTTCGCAATATGCACAATACAGAAGAAGGATTTGTCTAATAAACTTTGAAAGGCATGGTATATCAGCCATTTTTTTCAATATACACATTTTTATAGACTGTTTGGTGACAGATGTTGGAGATGTATTCTAAATTTAAAGTTACAATGATTGCTACAAGATTCTTCTGCACCAAAGGGATGGGATCTTGTCAAGGCAAGTGGAAAACACAGAAGAATATAATACATAAGCACTGCCTGTTTCTTCTCCTTGCCCTCCTATTTCTGCAGGCCTCCTCCTCAGGGTCTGCAATGGAATAAGAGGAATATACTCAACAACATCATTTTTCTTCTTCATACTCACTGTGTTTCCCTTTTACAATGAACCAGCTTAGAGACTTCACCCATTAGACCTTTGTTTCACTGTTCCAAGTGACTTTTAGTGAGGTAAATGGGGGAAAGTGAAGCTGACTGTGGCTGCCAGCATGCTCTGTGAAGGTTTATTCCAGCCTGTGGCAGCCTGGACTATGTTACTCCTTTTGTGTGGTAATGGGAGTCCAGGTTAACCCACCCATGCCCAGCTTCTTCCTGTCTACCACTCACTACAAAAGGATTTTGCAACACACCAGGTCAAAAGTGCACATACCATGTCACCCACCAAATCACCCATTTCTGCCCCAAGCCCGTGTCTAGTTGAGTGAAAAGAAGTGAATGACTTTCAGCACTGAATTCTTTAGAGGGGAGAAACTAATGCAGTAGAAATGTTTCCCAACTACATATCAAATATCAAACAATGAATTATGTTATATGTGGATTTCTTGGCTTTGGACATTTTTCATACAACGATTATGGAGTTTGCATTCCACAGTCACATGTATTTTAAAATATATTTCAGAAAATTAACTTGTTTGGTTTAGAGGTCACAGGATAAATTTCTTGCCTTTTCTGGGTATTCTCTGTTTAGCAAGAGAGCACTTAGTATAAAAGGATAAATTATGGTAGCCCACAGGAGTCGGTGCCATATTGTGCAACTCACACAAACACCCATGGGCTTTCAGAGGAGAGCTCTGTTTGTTCAAGAATAAGATCTGGTACTTCTCATAGCGGGAGGTCATATTACCTTAAAATGCCTCTGCTCTGTAGGTCTGCCTGATGAATAACATCTGTTCCCATAACAACTGCCTCTCCAGTAGGAGAGATGGGCTCCATGGCATGACAATACCAAAAGTAGTCCACAGGCAGTCCTGTACCGAGGGAGCAAGTGACCACAGCAAGTAACACAAATCTCACTATGAGCCTGATTCAAATCCTACTGGAGCCATCAGGAAAAAGTCTGGCATATTTCAGGGTGTCTTGGGTTAGAAAGCATGCATAACCCTGTCTCTGCTCCTATAATGGTAGTACAGTCAGCAGTGATGATATATGCTGTTTGAAATCAAAGGTTTCTCCAGCTCAATAACTTCTCATGAAAAACAGCAAGACATGGTTCACTTTACAATCATATTCATGCAATCAAAGGGAGAAAATCATAGCAGGTATGTTTCTGTATACTTAAAAAAGACATAATTTTCAATGTAATTTGCAGTCCCAGACTACCAGCCTTCTCATGGCAGGAAAGTTTCGTGCAAAGAGAGATCACTGGGAAAGGGACTTCTCTGCTTTGCTTCCATTCAAAAGAACACAGTGAAATCCTGCCCCACACAGAGAAATCCTATCCTAACAGGTAAAATTAGCTTTTAGCTTTCATCCAGCTCTTTGCATCTCAGATGATAAAATCAAGGGAATTCATACTGAGTTACCAGTATTTCCACTGGAAGTGGGTAAAAAATTCAGCTGAAAAGACATAGGAATAAAGTTTACTGGGAGATAGTAATTTGGTTTCACAAATATCAAAGTTTTAAAATTAATTTTAGTTTTTCAGTGGAATATAAACAAAACCTCTGAAAGTTTTCTCAAAATGAAATTGTAGAGAAACACATTTTATCATAACTACAATTTTTTCAGCTCTGATCCTCTCTCACTCTCTTCCCTTCCTGCTTCCCCTCATTCGCTGTCATCAGAGGTAGCTGCAGAGCCCTGGATCACAAACTTTTCAGCAGAAATTTTTTTGGAATCAGTACATCTCTGTGAGTGCATTCTGTTAGGAATGTTCATAAACAATTCTGCTTGGGAGATGTTCTTAGCTTGTCCGAAAAATTACACTTCTAAACAGATAGCCAGATGCTCAGCTATGAGGTTTTGTGTCAAAAGCACACAATGAATTGCTGAAATGACAGTCCTATATATTAAAGATATCTGGGCTATTCTCCTGTCTGGTTTTTTGCATGCAGTATAAATTCTGTTACATACCATTCAGCCTTTTATCGCTACACAAATCACATATATAATTAAAGCATTCTTCCCCACAGTTTTATTCTCCTGAATGTGATCCCAAAGATTTTAAGGTTGTATCTGTGAATAGACAGTAGGAAAAAAATTTCAGTCTAGCCTGATGTTCTCCTATATATTTCTATGGGCAAACAAATCTTAGCTGGTTTTAAAAGCAAAGGCAAATGCATGAGTCTCACCTTCTGCCAGCTGTGTTTCTTTAAGTATATTTATATTTAAGTATATACATACAAGATTACAGAGTTGCCTCAGACAGAAAACCTTTACCTCAGACAGAAAACCCTATGAGTTTTCTATGAAGACAGACTTGCTTCTTTTTTCTTAGAGGTTAGAAGGGTTTTTGCTGTTGTGCTGACATTTTGCATGATCTTCTTCCTTTTTCATCTGAAAAAAAATATGCAGTGCTGAAATAACAGTGAAAACATATTGCTCAATTTCAGTGACATTAATTGTATATGTCTGTGCATCACCAGGTTAGTTCCAGGGGCCAGAGGAGGATTCCTTAATCCCTGATATACAGAGGGGGCAAACACAGTGGATTATTTTTGTTCCTTTGATTGCACCACCACTTTTAAAATGTCTATCTTAAAGAAGTTATGCCTTATGTGTGGGGGAAAGGAAAATATTCCAATTAGAAACAACCTAACTTCTCTGTCACATCTGGCCTTCATGCCTCAATAATGCCCCGAGCACAGCTCATAAATAATGAGTGCTCAGAGACTGACTGTACAATTCCAGTGCATTCTATTCACTTCCAGTGGATGCACAAAAGGATAGCATGTATCCTGAAGGCAAAAGCATGTGCTGTTTTCTTGGTCTTCCATCGAATGCATGTTGTTAGTAGTTTAATTGTTATTCATTGAGTACTGACAGTAGGCTACATAGGGCACAAAAACGATTGCTGTGCATAAACAGAACTGAATTTTATCTGTTTCTTTGTCTATCCCTGCTATCCATATCAGAGCTTCTGTTGTAGCTTTATGTGATACAGTTTAAAAATACTGTGGTTTGAAAAAAAATAGATAAGTACAAGCAAGCAATCATCAAGAGATAAATTCATCATGTTAAAAAAAAAACCCAAACAACAACCCTTTTTCCAGATACAAACAGTCAAAAAGGTTTAAAAAATAACCTTAATCTCACTGAAATGGAAACCAGTAAAAATAAGAATCTCACACATCAAAGTAGGTAGCCACATGCTTACCTGAGGTAAGTTTACTAATTCTACGGACTTCAAGAGACCTACCCTTTTCTTGTTTATTGGCAGACTAATAACTTGAGTTTGATGCAGTGCCAAAATCTTTGCAAGTGTTGAAAAAGAAAAGTAACTACATTGTAAGAAAATGAGAGGGAGACACAACACAAACTTGTTCCATAAACCTCACAGAAGCATACCCAGGTGGAACATGAAAGAAAGATGGAAAAGTAAGTCACCGTGTGATCTGTCTCCTGGTAAATCACATCTTCACCTCAGGTTATAGAAATAGCACACCCTGAGGACTGGACTTTCTTATTTGGAATAGGGTTTGAAATGGTCAAAGAGGTAGGAAAGAAAACAATATACAGGTCTGGTTCCAAATTTTTCAAGTCAATACCAGTTTTATTAGAGGACATAGAGAAAAATGCATCTGAGAACTTAAAAATCTAGATCTGGATTCAAATGTTGTGTCTTTGTCACATGTTTAGATGTACCCTCTTGGTATGTTATTCCTAAAGGGATATTATATGTTATATGCTGCTTCCATTAGCCAAAGTTGACTGGTCCTTCTGAACACATCTTCTACCTCTAAACTCTTTCCAGGTAGTTTTTCAGGGATCAATTTCCTAAAGGCAGAGGGACTAATTCCATGATTATATCTGTTTTGTTTTCTTTCCTCTGCAGGCTTAAGTGATAACTGGGTAACTTGTTAGCAGCACAGAAATGAATAATTCAACGTACATAAATTCTTCCACTGAAAATGTGATGGCTTTGGAGAGCCCCTATAAAACTGTTGAGGTGGTCTTTATTGTCCTGGTAGCAGGGTCTCTCAGCCTAGTCACCATAATTGGGAACATCTTGGTCATGGTGTCAATCAAAGTCAACAGGCATCTACAGACTGTCAACAACTATTTCCTGTTCAGCTTGGCCTGTGCTGACTTGATCATCGGCATCTTTTCAATGAACCTATACACCCTCTACACTGTGATAGGGTACTGGCCTTTGGGGCCCGTCGTGTGTGACCTCTGGCTGGCTCTTGACTATGTGGTCAGCAACGCCTCTGTAATGAACCTCCTCATTATCAGCTTTGACAGATACTTTTGTGTCACCAAGCCTCTGACATATCCTGTGAAGCGGACCACTAAGATGGCAGGCATGATGATCGCAGCTGCATGGGTGCTGTCCTTCATCCTGTGGGCCCCTGCAATTCTCTTCTGGCAGTTCATTGTGGGAGGAAGGACTGTCCCAGATGGAGATTGCTACATCCAGTTTTTTTCCAATGCTGCTGTCACTTTTGGCACTGCCATTGCAGCCTTCTATTTGCCCGTTATCATCATGACTGTCCTTTACTGGCAAATCTCTCGAGCTAGTAAGAGTCGGATAAAGAAAGGGAAAAAAGAAGCTACCCAAAACCAAGATACAGTTTCCCCCAGCCTTGTCCAAAGTAAAATAGTGAAACCAAACAACAACAACATCCCAGCCAGTGGTGATGGGTTGGAGCACAGCAAAATTCAGAATGGAAAAACCACTGGAGAGACGGTGACGGAGAACTGTGTTCAAGGGGAGGAGAAAGAGAGCTCCAATGACTCCACCTCTGTCAGTGTGGTCGCTTCCAACATGAAAGAGGATGAAGCTGCCAAAGATTCCAGCCAGGCTTCTGCCTCCCAAGACCATCTCAAAGTGGGGAACTCCAAGCTGACATGCATCAGGATAGTCACCAAGTCCCAAAAGGGTGACTGCTGTGCCCCCACCAACACTACTGTGGAAATTGTAGGCACCAATGGGGAGGAGAAGCAGAATAGTGTAGCCCGGAAAATTGTCAAGATGACAAAGCAGCCAGCCAAAAAGAAACCACCTCCTTCTAGAGAGAAAAAAGTTACAAGGACTATTTTGGCCATCCTCCTGGCCTTCATCATCACCTGGACCCCATACAATGTGATGGTGCTCATCAACAGCTTCTGCACATCCTGCATCCCTGGCACTGTATGGACCATAGGTTATTGGCTCTGTTATATCAACAGCACCATCAACCCTGCTTGTTATGCGCTCTGCAATGCTACATTCAAGAAGACCTTTAAGCACCTTCTTATGTGTCATTACAAGAATATAGGAGCTACAAGGTAAAAATAATAATAAAAACAATAATGGAAACGGTGAAGAAGTTCCAAGTTAAATTAAAAAAACCCAACTAGATAAATGCTATAGCACTTTATGCTCTTCTACAGAATGTGCAATCCAGGATGTTAGTGGAAATACTGACATAGGGCATCAGGTCCATTCCTGAGAAATACACCTAGAAACATTTTTTTAAATTATTGTAAACAAATCTTGAGGACATGGAGATGTCTGAGGAATTATTCAAGTATGTGGACTGGAGGCATAGTTCCTTGCTTTCTGCAATATTCTGCAGAAGGGCTTTAGAGTCTACAATTTTTGGTCATTCTGTGTGAAATTGTTGTTCTTTTTTGGTTTTAGTTTTGTTTTTATTTTTTTTTTTCTGTGTCTATTTAATATGTCTTCATCTGGGGGGAAAAAAAGGGAATTTTAACGGTAACTGTGTGGAAGAAGCATGGGAGTTTGGAAGATCATTACATGTTTGAAATGAATCATGGTTTCTAAAGCTCAAAGTTGTTTAAAGCTTTTTTGTCGCTGTCAAGCAAGAATTTTAATGTTAGGTAAATGCTGATGAAAGTTATTTTATGTTGTTTATGACAGTACCATTTCCAAAATTGCATCAGTTCTGAAAGTGTACTTACCCTCAACATGTAACCATTGCCTAACCTGTGTATCATTCAAAGTCTGCTGCTTGCCCCAGTTTAAAGGGGCTTTTGTTCCTCAATTCCTTCATCCCCTCAAGATAAAAGTGAAAAGGTGATCTTTTCCAGATTGCTGCATCCCAAGACTATTTCAGCATCTGTGTAAACCAAAGCTTTTGAGACAATTTTGTTCGCTTTGTTTGTCATGTAACATCCGCCTGTGTATCTGTCTCTTACTTCCATAAGCTTTTCTTCCTTTTTGTACCTTACTTGTCTAGGCCATAAAAACTGAATATCAAAAGAAGTTCTAAATTCAAAGATATCATCCAGTCAGCCACCACGGTGGCCTCAGCTGAAGAATAGAAACAAGGTTCTCACTAGAAAAATAGATGTTATATTCTTTTAAAGTTGGATATACAGACAGAGAGGTATGATGAGGCTCCACAGTATGAATACTCAACATCAGATGGCCATGGTCTTGATCAGTCATAAAGGGATTCACACCTAGACAAGATGTTTACTCTGTGGAAAAGATATTCGCTACATTGCCTTTTGTAGCAGCTGGGAGCAATATTTTGGCTGAAACCAAAGGGTAATGCTAATAAAAAGGCAGAGAGGAAAACAGTAATTACACAAAATCAGATACTGAAATAGTCTGGTTGAGGGGCAGGCAAGGATCAAGTTCAAATACTATCTGCTAGTCCACACCAGCTTAAATTCTAATGCTTTCTGCCTGACAAATATTTTACTATTTCAATATTTGATATTTAATGTAGCACAACTGAGCACTTTGGGGACAGGACAAAGTTTATTAGATTGTTGAAAACAGCAGTTGTTTGACTTATGCATATTCTAGTTACCTCCTTCTGAGTAACTCTAGCTTCAAGGCACTATGAAGGCACACCTACAGATTTTTTTACCCCAAAATGTAGCTTGCTGCACAGTGTTCTGAGGGACAGTCTTCTGTAGTGAAAACCACTTACCAAATAGGATACCAAATTATTCTGTTATTTCATGTTACCATATTAGAGTCTTCCAAAATACACTTCAAAATAGCAGCCTTCAAGATTACAGGGAAATTAATCTTGCCGACTTAAAATTTACATTTGACAAGCTTATTGGAACACAGTGTCAAAGCACTTTGGCAATCTGACAATTTTCATGTTGCAAAGTACAAGTTCTTAGCAGAAAGTGAAAACTAGGGGGATTAAACTGCAGTAAATTAAGGCTACATTAAACTCAGGATTAATGTGTCTTAATATGTATTCATTGATTTTATACCCCTAGTGATTTCATCTTAATATATCTAAGTGTCTCCATGCAGCCAAGGATCTAATTTTACAACCCTCACTCTCCTTGAGTCATATTTACTATCACTGTTTTCATCTTCCTGCTTGTAAGAAAGAATAACTCAGTGATAAGGCTTGCAAAACTGAGTGCTGCTTGTCTTTCAAAACTACATTCACTAGACTTATCTTGACAGGCCAAGGGAAAAACTTGCATAATCACTTCTAGATGATTCATTCTCTTACAATGTAAAGTAATCCAGATAAAAACCAAAGATACAATGAAATCTGTTCATTTTCTACATCTTACTCCTTTAAAAAAGTTTCATAAAAGAAATGCACCTGCTTCTTTCTTTCAGCAAGTGCTGCAGGTGTTAATAGTACCAGTACTCAGATTGATAAATAATGGGGTTTATATTGTTATTTAATCTTTTAACTCCAATTTTCCAGCAGGCATGAAAATCCTTTATTCTGACCTTTGAAGCTGTCATTTGTTCACAAATTATTAATTCCTCTAACAGCTAAGGACACTTCTATAGGTTAAGATGTGCAAGATGTAGATTACAATTGCACTTTTTCATCATGTAATGTGACGACATACAAAATACTATACAGAAAACCAAATAATTCGGGGCCCACATTCATGAAACAAACAAACAAACAACAACAACAAAAAAGGAAAACCTTCGGTTTGAAGCTTCTTAACACTTTTCCCTAGCACCACCCCCACTTTTTATCCTAAAGGACAAGATGCTTTGTTTTGTGTTATACTATATTTAAAAGGCTTGCAGGACACACAATCCTGTGTGTTTCCACCTTGTACAAGCTCAATGAAAAGATATTTCTGTGGTACATCCACCTTCACAGCCAATTAAGCAATGTAAAAATAGATGGCATAATGCACCTACACATGTATGCACAGACATGCAAACACACACCCCAGCATAGTTAATATACATGGAAAATAATCATCTAACATTCAAGACATTACATGGGATGTTGTCTGTGTTGTGCTCATTGGCAGCTCGTGGGAGGTGCAGAGCCAACACTTACTCATAACACTGTCTACTTCCTCCAGGAGACAGAGCCTGCCTTGGGATTCTGGGAACCTCTCATGTCCTAAGCTAGTTTTGGCTCAGTAAGACAAAAAGTGGGATAATCTTTCAGAGCCACAAAATGATTTATTCTTCTGAACACCTTTTGAATTCTCATGCCTTTCCTTTGTGTCCCAAACCACGTTCACCAGGTTTCACTTTCCTTCTGAGTGATAGTTCTGCGAGACCTAGATGCTGGTCTTGAAGAGCAGCGCTCCCTGGGTACCTTCTCTGGCTTTCCAAGCTGCCACCTGCGCCCTGCCACCCCAAAGGCCCCAGGTGGCCCTGCTGACGCTGCCACACCTTCACCTTGGGCTTGGCCAGAGGATCGCAGCAGCACATCCACATCATGTGCTTTTTTGGCCACTTTCGTTTAACATAGAAATTGCAAAAACTGCGGGTGACTCATGAGAAAAAATTACCCAACAAAACAACAACAAATTACAGCTAGCACTTCTTACCTGCTCTTTTTCTTCCCTTTAATTATTTAAAGAAACAGGCTAAAACTGAAAAGGCCCAACCAACCCTTGACAGAAACCCTGCTGCAGCAGGGTCTGTCACGTCAGCAGCCCATGGGGTGTGACTTGTACTGTCACAGGCCAGCCCTACCTTCACTCTCCAGGGAGAGAATAACAACCTGAAGATATGTCAATCCAGCTGGCACCTTTTCTGAGCATTAAAGACATCTGCTGAAAAAAAAAGAAAACGAAAGAAAGAAAGAATGAAAGAAAGAAATAAAAAGCTGAATTAATGTTGAGAAATCTGTTTTCCAGTAAGGACAGAACCTAAGAAAATATTCTGTCAGCCTACTTTCTGTTTGGGATTTTCATTTGATCAACTAGGAATCATGACGATCTGCTCACAGATAGCACAGTGTTTGAACATTGCCTGATGAAAAATACTCCAAAGGCAACAAACACATCTCTACAAGACAGATTGCTTCTTTTTTCTTTCTTTTTTGCCTCACAAATGCTCATGGGTAAAGGAGTGCTCAAATGGACATCAGGAATCAGGTTTTGGCATCCACAAAGGAAGAAGAGAAAAGCAAGTGTTAAATCTATCAGCTCTCTGTTGTGGAGAAGAACACTGACAAGAGGTGTTGTCTTTAGTGTGAGTGGCTGTGCTGAGAACAGCCCGCACACAGCTGAGGAAACCCTTGGGGTGGCCTGGTGGATCTGAGGTGTACATGTGTCTGCTTTGCAGTGGGGCTTGCTAGTAAATGCATTGCCCCCTTCCCCAGTTTTAAATCATTTTGATCACTGTTCTTCATTCCTATGGATGTGATGGTTGCCCCAGTGCTGCCTGAAGATGCAGTTCCTGATTTTTCCAGTGGTGCTGAGGTGGCCCACTTAGAATTTTTTACCTTGGATGGCAGCACCTCTTCTTGCCACATTTGCTGCTTTTGCTAAAACTCATCCTGGTACTGGCCTCTCAGGACCCTGAAAGTAAAGCATCCTTATAGCCATCATACTTCAAAATTGGCATAATGGAGCTGGGGATGAAGGAAGAATGCTGCTGATATTTGTTTTCCCTCCCTCTCCTGACAATAATTCCTAGATGTCTTTGGTTTTTGATAAATCAGGGTGCTGCTTGTGAGAAGCTACAGTTGTAGGAAAACAACAGCAGGAAAAGAAAATCTGGTCCTGGGTGGGGGGTGTTTGCTGTCAGTTAGTAGGCTTAGAGTCTAATACCTTTGATAATTTTAAAGGTCCCCTCCTAGACCGCTCTGCACTCAGCTGGCAGAAATGCAAGTGGTAGAAATTGAGAAGCTAAAAAGTGGCTTTTTTTCACCCCTGGGTCTACGAATGTTTTATATAACATGTCTGGGGGCACTTGCTAGGGGTATGATTCCTATGCATTATCGCTTTTATTGTTCTTGTATATCATGAAAAGCCCTAGACTTTAAAGAAACTTTTTTTTTTTTTTTTTAATTTATAGAAAATCTTTCCCTGAAGGAAGCTGAGGGATGATCCTTAATTTACTGTGGCTTCTTTTCCCAATTCTCTGTCTATCTTTCCTCTTTTGTCACAGTCTTGACAAAAAGCTTTCTACCTTCCCCCCTTTAACAAGTATGCCACTTGTGTTTCAGCTGCAGGTGTGCAGTTTCTCTTCTATTTCAGGCACTGTGAATGCTGGTATTCAAACTCTTTA